TTCAAATCTTCCAGTTACTCTGCAGGAGAAAGATGGATTTCTACACTCTCATAACCATTTATAACCTTGGAAACCCTATACAGGATCACTCTGAGTTAGAACCGAAAAACAAACAAATCCATCTTAGAAGAAACGTAACCAGAATGTTCCTTAGAAGCGAGGTTGGAGAGACTTGGGCTCGCTTTTTGGGAAAGAGCAAACACAAGAAAAGAATGTGATCCAGTACAGGGTCAGCCCAAACCAAGGAGATCTCCCATAAGATGGACTGATGAGATGGACTGACAGACAGCCGCACCTATGGACTCACATAGACCAACGATCAGGAAGATGTTCTAGTGCCATTTACTCCAGTGAATTCAAGATTATGGTTACTCCGTTTGTCCCCACAGGCAGAACTACTTTGATCAGAACTTGGCTCCTTTGCTAGTGGCCATGGCCCAGATGACCTTGGCTAGCCTTGCAGTGTGTGGTACTTAAGTCACACATTGGGCAATTTGACTTAAGTTGGCCTTTCAGCATTTCTTAGGTGTCAGGGGACTCAAGCTATAAAAACAAGGTCAAAGTGACACAGGACACTTTAGCTAAATGCCACATCAACCAGGTAAGAGGGCAATGTGGAAATCAAATCGGCTTAAGACTTTAAGATCCTGTCACTGCCATTAAAGACTTGGTCAGTGACCTTCATGTAAAGTCTGCTCACAGGCTCCCCCTTCAGTCTACATGAGGATTCCTATCAGTGAGATGCCTGCCCTAGGTATTCTCTGAGGACACAAGTCTCTTTGCCCTTCCTTACCTCTCCAGGGCTTTTAGCACTGCCAGTCTCCACCGACCCGTCCCGTAGGAAAGGCCAACAGCCAAGGGATCTCCAGTACCAATAGTAACTAGTAATAACAGTCATGTATGGAAAACTCTTCCACAAAACTGTGCCTCTTCTAGACTCTGGCCTTAAAGAACGTATCCTAACTTTGACCCCGTTGGCTGGAGGAAATGTACTAGAACCCCCATCTTTTCCTATCAGGCATGATACGACTTGAACTGACTATAGCAATTTAGGTTCCTTGCCAGAATCTTAGGGTATACATGCTCTTTTCCTAGAATATTCTAAACCAGTTCTATGAGTGTGTGTTGAGGGTGGCATGGTGAAAAACAGTAGCAAATATAGAAAACCAAGGCCAGGAAGCTGGCCCATATGCCTTGGGGCTATGAACTTAAAGCAGGGCAAAGCTGGGTTGACTTGTTCCCAACTCCCAAGTCCCTCCCATTCAGAAAGCATGTGCCTGCCTGCCTACCTGCTTGTCTGCCTTGTTGTTGTTAAGTGCCGTGAAGTCAGTTCTGATTCACAGCAACCCTGTATGGGGTTCTATGCCGCCCTTGCGGTTCAAACTGACCTTGCTTACCCTGCAGCGTCTGTGTGGGTTCTCTCTCCCACTGTTCATGGCATGCCACGCATCTCCCACATGACAAACATGAATGGAGGGGACCCTTAGTAATCACATGCAAGGTGAATAATAGCTTCAATAAACTAATTTTTTTTTAATGCATAAAATATCAGACAATGGAGTCCTGGTGAGTCACTATAGGTTAATGCGCTGAAATACAGAGTCGGTTTGGACCATGTGGTTGGTGGTTCAAGCTCACCAGCTACTCCGCAGAAACCCTATACAGGGTTGCTATGGGTCCGAACCGACTCAACGGCACATAATAAGAGCAACAGCAATCAGACAACATGCTTAATATCATAATCAAGTGAAATTTTACTGCAGATTATTAAAAAATGGTCACAGCAATATTTGACAGAGAACTGCTAGACATTCAAGTGGAGTTCAGAAGAGGATGTGAAATGAGGGATATCATTGCTGACGTCAAATGGATCTTGGCTGAAAGCAGAGAATACCAGAAAGATGTTTAACTTGTGCTTTATTGACCTTGAAAAGTCATTTGACTGTGAGGATTTTAGCAAATTATAGATGACATTACATGGCATGGGTATTCCAGAAGATTTAATTATGCTCACCTAGACCAAGAGACATCAAGGGGATGGTGGTGGTTATGTGCCATGGAGTAGGTTCCGACTCATAAGCGATCCTGTATAGGGTTCCGAGGCAGTAAATCTTTATGGGAGCAAAAAGCCTCATCTTTCTCCCATGGACTCGCTGGTAGTTTTGAACTGCTGACCGAGAAATTAGCAGCTCGACTCGTAGCCACTACACTACCAAAAGTTCCTTCAAGGAGATACTGAATAGTTTTAAATCAGGAAAGTTGTGTGCTTGGGCTCCATCCTTCCACCATACTTAGTCTGTATGCTGAGCAAATAATCCGAGAAGCTGGATTATATGAAGAAGAATGTGGCATCAGGATTACAACCTCAATATGTAGTTGACACAACCTTGTTTGCTGAAACAGAAGACTTGAAGCAGTGACGAAGATCAAAGACCAGAGCCCTCAGTATGGGTGGTACCTCAATGTAAAGTAAACGAAAATCCTCACCACTGGACCAATTAACAGCATCCGCATAAACAGAGATAGGTTGGAATTACCAAGAATTTCATTTTATTTGGATCCACAAAAGCCAAGAAATTAAAGAATGTATTGTGTCGGGTAAATCTGCGGCAAAAGACCTCTTTACAGGGTTAAAAAATAAATAAAGATGTCACTTTGAGGATTAAGATGTACCTGACCCAAATCATGGACTCTCAAATGCTTCATATACATGTGAAAGCTGGACCATGAATTAGGAAGACCAGAGAAGAATCCATGACATTGAATTATGTTGTTGGTGAAAAACACGGAACGTATCATGGACTACCAGAAAAACAAGCAAACATGTCTTGGAAAAAGTACTCATATAGTCAGAATGCTTCTTGTGTTGTTGTTGTTAAGTGCCATCGAGTCGGTTCCGACCCATAGCGACCCTGTACAGGGTTTCCGAGGGTGTAAATCTTTACGGGAGTAGAAAGCCTCATCTTTCTCCCACGGAGCGGCTGGTAGTTTCGAACCGCTGACCTTAAGGTTCGCAGCCCAATTTGTAACCACTACGCTACCAGAGCTCCTTAGAATGCTTCTTAGAAGAGGCATATTATTAGGAAAGGCCAGTCCCTGCAGGAGGACATCATGTTTGGTAAAGGAGAGGGTCAGCATAAAGAAGGAGGCCCCCAATGACTGCACAGTGGGCTCACACAGAGGATGGTGCAGAACCAGGAGGCAGTGTTTTGTTCTGTTGTGCATGGGGGTCACTATGAATCCCAACAATCTCAATGGCACCTAACAACAACAACAATCCAGAAACCGACAAAGGAGCCCTGGTGATGCTAAGGGTTAGGCACTGGGCTGCTGACCACAAAGTCAGTGGTTCAAACCCACCAGCTGCTATGAGTAAAATTGACTGGATTTTTAGCATCCTACAAGGAAAGGTAAAATGACACTGTATATTAAATTCAAGGACTATGAACCAACAACATGCAAGGAAAAAATAAGTTCAGGCACAGTACCTAAAAATGTCAGCCCAGACACAACACCATGCCAAGGTGCTATTTAGTAAGCTCGTTTCGTTTGTCCACTAATGGTGGGCTCTACAAATAGGAAGAGGGGCTTGCTTTCGGTTATTCCTGGCTTTTTCTCCCTAGCAAGAACGGTTGGAGAAGTCAGTTCTTTCGCGTTTCCCTTAAACACTGCTCAAACTGCAAAGTCAGGAGTCAGCGCAGCGCCATATGACCAATCCAAACGTGATTGTAGGGGGCTGAAGAGCCAGGCCCAGCTTCCAGCTTCACTGGGAACACCCCGGGCAGGCGGCAGGCCTGAGGCTGAACCCCAAGTATCGCCAAGCAGCTTGAGCAGACTTTCAAGTTTGCTCTCCTTTCGGGAGATGCACGTGACTGCAGGCAGACGGGGGTGGGGGTGGGGCTGATACACCAGGAACAGGAGAATGAATTCTCAGGGCCCTGCAGGCTTTTGACCCCAATTCTCTGGACCTGCCAAGACAGCTCATGGTGTCACAACCTCTTCAGGGACCCGCCAGGATTTTGACCGCACCCCTTAGAACCGAGCTTCCTGTCCCCTGCCCTGAAAGTTATTGCGGCCCCAAGGTGGTCTTCCAGTGAGTAAAGATCGGTCCCCAGGCCCGACACCCGACAGTGACCCGCGGCTCTCAACAAGGTATAGCCACACTTCAGCGCCCCCAGCCCGCGCTCCCCGGTTGGATCTATTGTTTAGAAGGAAGGCTAACCACCGGCACTAGACTTGGACTAGATTCCTTTGGGGGTAACCTCCAAGCAAGTGAGGCTCAGCCTACTAACCTGATTAAGTCCTAATTCCCAATGCCCCTCCCCCGCTCAGCTACACCGGGGACCCCAGAGGAGCTTCCATACGCGCCTGCGGGGTGGGAGGGGAGAACAGTTGTCCTCCAGGGGGAGACCCTATTTAAAGTCTCACTCATCCCCCCCAACCCCCCAGCCAGCACTCAGAAGAGGCCCGTAGCCGGCGGAGCGCAGGCCGGGTGGGTGCGCAAGCTGCGAGATGCTAGCAGCTGCCGCCCCCGGAACGTGCGCCTGCCCACGGCCGCGGGAGACCGTGGTGGTCCCAGCCAGCTCCCCGCGTCCCTGGGGTCTCCTCCCCTCGCCCACTGCCCACTGGCACCTTCCCCGAGGCAGAGGAGCGTGCCCTGGGGTACAGTCACCGCCTGGGCCCGGCCCTCTGCCTCCTTCCAAAGCCGCACGGCGGAGGAGGCAGGACCATTGTTTCGAGGGCTCGGGAGCCCAGTTCTCCGGGCCCGCCGGGCGGGGAAATAATAGGACCGAGCCGCGGCTTTGGGGAGCGGGTGGAATGGAGACTAGTTAAGACGCGACTTTAGGGCGCCCTGAACCCCATGTCTCTCAATCCCCAGAGCCACGGCACTGACAGCTCCCGGGCGCCACTGGGGGCGCAGAGAGATGTCTGGGGAGGGGGGATACGCGGGAGCCCCCAGCACCCCAGGGCTGCCCAAGGGGGGGCGCGTCCTCACTCACCTGTTCCGGTGGCGCCGCTTCCCTGGGGTGCCCAGCTCAGCGCCAGCAGTAGCCAGAGCGCCCAGCGCGCGGACGTGCCCATGGTGCCCGCCAGGATGGTGCCGCTGCCGCTCCGCACAACAAGTTAGCAGCCTTGGTTAGGAGGAAGGAGGTGGGGGGCGGGGCGGGGAGGAGGGGAAGGACTTCGAGGGGACCGGGAGCGGTGGAGGGGGTGGGGGGAAGAGAGGGCACCCCCTCCCCGCCAACTTGCACAATCTCCTCCCCACCAGCCCACCCTCCGGGCTGCAATCGCCGAGAGAGCCGGGCCTGCTGGCAGCAATAAGGCAGGCGCTGCCGAGCAGGGGCGGGACGGGGGGCGGGAGGAGCGCCCAGCAGCGC